AATAGGAGATACTTTTACGAACTTCACATCTATAAGAGACCCCATAGTCAAAATATATAAAGAACTCAAGAAATAAAACATCATAAAATTAAAACATAATAAAATAATCAAATTTAAATATAGTACAATTCTGGTGGCGATGACACAGACCTTTCATTCCAGCACTCTGGAGGCAGGTGAAACTCTGAGTTTGAGGGAAGTCTGATCTATGAAATACTTTCCAGAACATCCAGGGATACAAAGAGAAAACCTGTCTGAAAAGCCAAAATAATGAAGGAAAAGAAAACATGGAGTACTGCTATAAACATAGTATTCTCAAAAGAGAAAAGACAGACTCTGGAGAAACACTTTAAAAATTTTCAATGTTCTTAGTCATCAGGATATTGCAAATCAAAACTACTTTGAGATATATTTATAGAACCCAGGAACAACAGCCCAGATATGATACCACCACAATGATCTGCACCCTCCTCCATCAATTACTAATTAATAAAATGCCCTACAGTTAGATCTTATGGAGTTATTTTTTTTTAATTGAGGTTCCCTCCTTTAAGATAATTGGAGCTTTTGTTAAGCTGACACAAACTAGCCAGCACAGAATTTATGCTCAATGCATTTTAATTTGCATATGAAAAGGCAGCAATCAAGGGACCTGCTGTGGTCTAGACCAGGTTTATATGTTATAATTATAATCTTGAAGATTTTGTGGGGCTCCTATCAATGGAAGCAGGTGTTTTTCCCACTCTTTTGACTACAAGACAATTTTTCTCCCATTGTGTTGCTTTGTCTAGCATAAATATGAGCACTTTTGATTTCCCTTATTGTATACTGTATGGCCCTGTTTTGCTCTTCCTTCTTAGAGGTTTGCTCTTATCAAAAGAAATAAAGAAAGTTGATGTGTGGGAAAGGGAAATGGGGCTGTGATATTGGGACTGGAGGGAGAGGATGTGTAGTATGAGAGAAGAATTGATTTTCAATTTATGTTTTTTAAACAAGGTGAATTAAAGATCACACAAAAATCAACATTCATAAGGAGGTATTTGGCTTTATTCCAAAGATGTGGACATGGTTGGTTGAACTTAGAAAATTAAAAACGTAATCAATACAAATAGAAATCAGATGATCACCTTCAGATATACCGAAAACACTTTTGACAAAAAGCAAAGTACCTCCACAACAAAGTCATGAAAGGCAAAGAATAGATAGACCATGCCGCACCATAACAACATCTGCATATGACCAGTCTGTAGTCAACACAATGCTAAATGGAGAAAAAATTAAAGCATTTCCACTCAGATACTCAATGAGATTCCTCCTGTTTAATATAATTTTTAAATTTTAGGAATATCAATAAGTCAAGAGGTAAACTAAAGTAAAATCATGTTAATAAAAGGTATTTAAGTCAACTATACCTGGTAAATGATACTTCAAAGATAAGACAACCTAAAGAGCCCACAGCGAGTCTCTTAGAGCTGATAACGGTATCAATAAAGTTTCAGAACAAAAAATTAACCAACAGTTGTCTTCCTTTATGCAAAGGAAAATATTTATGCAAATGAAAAATACACTGAAACAAATAGTGCTAGTAAAACCACATAGTAAAAGAATAAAACTAGATTATTTTTTTTCTCTTTACAAACATATTAACTCAAGTTCATCACAGACTTCAACTTAAGACTTGATATCATGAAACTGATGGAGAAAAACAAGGGAGAATGAATGTTTCAATGTGTAGACACCGGCAAGGATTTCTGAATGGAATTTTAGTAGCAGAGGATATAAGATAGCAATTGGTAAATAGGATCTCAAGAAATAAAAAACATCCATAGAATAAAATAAACTTTTAATCTTTTAGAGACACACCACAGAATATATTCCAGCTACATGTCTGACTAAAGATTACTCTCTAGATCATAGAAACAATGATTAAAAAAAAANTTCACCACATACAGAGGGGAATCCCATATCAACAGAGTGCTTTCTCCATCAAGCAGGGTTACACATGTGTTTTGATGATTGTTCTGGGGACCAGTCTCTTATTGTGACTATTTTGAAATAATTTCCTGGCTTTCTTCCCTTAGGTTTATAATTTCAAAACTATGTGAAGTTTTGTTATCAGCACATTGGCCAAGGAAGGAAAAAGAAAAAGTGAAAAGTACAAAATATCCTATTTGTTTATTCCTGACAAGTCCTGCGACAGCTCACCTCAATAAACAGTGACAAATGTCTATCCTACAGAAGAGTACATTCATGTCTGCCTGATGTCATAGGCATCTATATGAACCATGTGCATGTTTTATTTCTGTTTATGATGCTTCATTGATATATGAGATGGAATCATTCCCCTTAGATAGAGAAAGTTTTTTTTTAATAATCACAATTTCTACTCCCCTCCCACACACTGTGTAGAACAACCTCTATTTAGAATGGAAAATCTTGCAATAGTTATTGCAGTTTTTAACATTTCAGGTGATAATTTAAAAATGGTGTTTGACTATAAACACTATCTACTCACATTGATTCACACAGAAGAGAAAAATCGAGCTCTTCATAAGATATTTGGAAATAATATCTGCACAATCCATTTTGTCATATATTGGGTATCTTGTAGAGAAATTCCATATGGGAATCCCATATAAAATCAACCACAATGAAACAATTTATTTGTCTATTGATCTTCCTTCACGTTAAACTTTTCTTTCTGTCAACTATCTTAAGCTTTTTAACTTATCCAGAGAGATGTTTCAGTACTCAATATTTCAAGAAAGTTCCAAAAATAGAAAAAAAATCCATACAAAGAGTTTTCATTTGCCTACCCTTTACTGTCTCAAGTATTTTTTCCTATTTTGTGTCTTAATAACCTCTCATTCTATTCCTTGACTTACCTGTTTTCACTCTACTTGAAATCAACAAATGCATTCTGTCTCCATTTCTATATAAAACAATCACCATCACTTAAAATACTATTAATGTACTGTCATTGTTGGTGTTGAGAATAATGTAAAATGAAAAAAGTAAGGTAAATATTTGCAATGCTCTACTTAAGAAAGTTAAGATTTAAAAATAACATGATTTTCAGAAACTCTCCATGATTCTTAGCAGGAATAGTCTCCTATTTACTCATTATCTGTCTTTGTACCTTATCGCTTAAAGCCTGTGATTGGCACCCTTTCTTTCTAGATCTTTTCTTGAATCACTAGACCCTTAAAACATTGAAATTTTTCCATTTTTAATTTTGCATATGAACTAAACTTCTTATTGCAAAAAAATTATCTTGCTTGAAAAGGCGAAATTATAAACTTTCATTAAGCTATTGGTCACCAATAAATCTTAATGATCACATTGTCAGTTGAAGGGATATGTTGCTTGCCAATGAAATAATTTTTTTTATTTTTTTATTTTTTTTTTTTATTTAATTTTTTAATTAATTATTTTTTAATTTTTTTTCCCTTTTTTTTTTTTTAATTTTTTTTATTTTTTTTTTTTTTTTTTTTAATTTTTTATTCTTTTTTTTTTTTTTTTATTAAAAATATAAGCTTGCAATGACTGGAGGAAAATGAATAAGTTGTTTTATGTAATTATTTTAAATAAGAAATACAACATAAAATGGAAAAAAATGACAAAGAATTAAGAAGACAAGCTGTCACAATATTAAACCAAATTTAAAAGACTCAAATTTCTTTTTATGATACAAAACAGCCTAGAATTCATAATTATTCCAAGAGTCTCTGGCTGTTCAAAAACTGGAAAAAAAGGTAGCATATTGTCTAGAAAAGAAAAAAAAAAGAGGTAAATTCTACATCTGAAATATTGCCCATAAGTAGAAACAATTTCTGTGCCCAGAATAAGAAATTAAATACAACTTGACCGGTCAAATGTTCCTGCTGCTTATGGTTTTCCTAAAGGCAACTTTAATATCTTTGTTCCTTAAGCTGTAGATTAAGGGATTCATCATGGGGACCACATTGGTGTAAAGGACAGAATAGATTTTTCCTTCATTCATAGACCCAGATGAGGAGGGTTTGAAATACACGAGCGTAGCTGAACCAAAGAACAGAGAAACAGCAAGGATGTGAGAGCTGCACGTGCTGAAGGCTTTGGACCTGCCCTCAGAGTAACTGATGCGGAAGATACTAGAGATGATAAAACCATAGGAGGTAAAGATAGTTGAAGTAGGAACAATTACATGGATGCTCCCAACAACAAATACTACAAGCTTGTTGGCATATATGCTTGTACAGGACAGTTGGAGCAAAGGAGGAATATCACAGAAGTAGTGGTTGATGGTGTTGGCATCACAGAAGGTCAGTTTCATCATGCATGCAGTGTGAGCCACAGCACTAGAAAATGCAATAATGTAGGAACCAAATAAAAGTATCAAACATAGTTTAGGAGACATGACAACATTATACAACAATGGATTACAGATGGCCATGTAGCGATCATAGGCCATTGAAGTCAACACATAGCACTCAGAAGTAGCAAAGAACATAAAGAAATAGAGTTGGGTCATACATTCTGTGTATGTAATTACATTTTTCCTTAATATAAA